CCATTAATTATTAAAAACTCGTTTCCAACCCCGCGGCGTCGAGCTGGAAGAGCGAGGCTCGTCGGGGAACCCTCCTTTCATGCAGACGACAAAATCAGGACGCGTGAAAGGGTTTCCGGTCGCATTCAGGTATCGGGGGCAGGCGGGGGGAACGCAAGAAAGAGAGAATTAACGCGTGAATGGCATTGCTCACGGACAGGTCCCTTAAGGTCGTGCGTACGTTGCGTCACGTCTGTGTGTGAGCGCGCGCTCGCTCCCGATTATGAACGCGGATTAACTTCATTCGCGGCCGTTCTATTCACGGCGTCACAAGAGCGGCGAAACAATGACGGGAATCTCTTCTTCGTTCCACCCTCGCGACGTCTTTCGCGCGCTCGTCTGATTTATATCGAGAATTCGGCTCTTGAGTAGGCAAGAGCATCGCGGGTCGCTCGTAAATTTACGTCCCACGAGCTGGTATAAACCGGCATTCATGCGCCGCAAATTGGAGAACATCGGTCGGCGTCGCGTGACGTAAAGCGACGCTCGATTTACCGCGTTCGCGAACGATGAGACAGACGGGGGCGCGTCTTTTTCGGAACGGAGGGCATCCTGCGAGCTCCCTCGAGAGCTCTCGCGACACGCGGTATTTTCGGCACGAAAGTGGCCCGTGTACAGTTCTCGCTCACTTTTCTAATTTCCTCTCCACCTGTCCCGTTGTTCTTTCAGAAGCGTCATCCCGTCGTAGACCCCAGCACTGAGTTAGCTCGTTCGTATCTTTGATTTTCACCGTCGCGTAATATTATTCGCGATTTGTTGCTTGCGCGATAAAGTGGGGCGCTAATCTTTTTATTACGAGAACGAGAGAAGGCGATAATCGAATGAATGTTCGCTGATGGTTTCGAGTACGAACATGCGTGTATATTTGCCGCGAGGAGAACAGCTGACAGTTCCCGTCGTCAGCTTTCTTTTCACCGAGCGAGGACTTCGAAAGAGGAAAAATGAAGTCATGTAAAATCGCGCGCGCACGGAGAAAGAAATATGCTTTCGTGCTGACAAATCGCGGGCGTGCAAAGTCGGCGAACGAAATGACTATTTCGATATATTCGGGTCGAGTTCGCAAGTCAGGAACTATGAAAAATTACACGGTAATATTGTTTCGGCATAAAAATATACAAAAATATCAGAAAATATCAAAAATATTTTATAAATCTTTACCTTCCACACACGTTACTGAAAAAGCTCACTGGAAGAAAATGACAATTATTCAAATTAGCCCTGAATTTTGTATGCCAGGTCTTTCACTCTATATATTACTTACTTTCATATTCTTTTTCCGTCTTTCCTCTGCCTGTCTCTTTCTCTCTATACATTTCATATCTTAATATTTAAAATATTTTAGATAGAAGAAATATATATATATATATATATATATATATATATATATATATATATATATATATATACATATATATATTAGGAAATTTACATAAATATAAATTTATAATTTTGTAATAATAATCAGAGAATCCTCTATTCAAGATATCAATGGCTTTTGGCTTTTATTCTCGCAACTTCTTTGAGTGAATACTTGAATACATAGATGCAAAATTCACGGTATAATATTGTGTTTGCAAGGAAATTTATTCTCCAAGTTTTTCTCTTTCAGTGGCTGTCTGGGAAAGCGAACGCGATCAACGAACGATGACGTCAGCATAGCTTTGATCTCGTCGTCTTTGATCTGTGCCGCGTATTGGTTTCACATCGTCGTCGTCGTCGTCGTCGTTGTCGTTGTTGTCGTCCTCGTTGTCCTTATCAAATTATAAGAAAGAGAAAAGGAGCAGGACAGAGAATAATTATCATCGTTATAACGGTCAGAACAATGATACGTCGTTTCTGTGTATCTCCTTCAAGGATATCGAGTTTTCATTGCGCAGCGTGATTTTTAAGCTTGACAATTGATGTTTTATGTAAGCCCGATGCAAGGTATAGGACTCTTTTTCACGTGCGAATAATGGTTCGCGGAATATGGTAATTGCAGTAACGCCTGGAATTTCTTGATAGCTTGCGTGTGAGTAAAAGCGGCGGAGTTAAATTACGCTTACCTGGAGATATTTAGCGAGTAATATGCGGATATACAGACAAATGCTCGTGATGTTGGGAAACTCGTGATAATAACCGATCGTCGAACGTCAATGTACTCACAATTCAAGCGAAAAATGCCGGACACGTAACTTCGCGCCTTGGACAGCATAACGGCGCTAAGTCGTTCGACAAGAGGCCTGTTCTTTATAGCTGCACTACTGAATTAGTGCAATAAGTTAGAGTGAGAAAACGTATATTTGTCTCACTTCAATATATTGCACCAGTTCAGCAGTGCTGCTACAAAGAATAGACCTAAGATTCTACAAGCATTATCGCAAATAACCGTTAATAGACATGTCTACATTAAAAGGTTAATGTCTACGTGAAAAGGATTCTATGTGGATATTGCGAGTAACTCATTGCTATTGCTCAAACGTACCGCGTTCAAAATACGTAATACGCAATAAAAGATCAACTCACCGGCTGCTGAAACGCAATTCGACCGCTGCTAGACGTTACAAGCGACGAAATGGCCGCTGTATCGTTCGAAACGATTTACCTAGCGGTATCTAACGCCAACGTGGGAAGATATGTTACCAAGCGATTAATGGGGTTTGAGTTTCGGCTGAGTGTTACCGGTTGCGTTTAGTAGTTCCGAGGGTTCCGCTACGAGGCGCCACCGATATGAATACTGCGGCCGGTATTTATAGTCTTATATTTAAGAGCCTCCGCATACAGATATCCGTAACATGTGAAGTTTACAGATTTCTTTGTGCGTTGATTTAAGTTTAATTTTTACGTACAGGTATGGCATTGCATTGTCAGTACTTAACGTAACGTAATATGTTACGGATGTGTTTGTGCGTTAGCTCTAAGCAGTCTTAAGTTCATTTTCAGATACTCCGTAACCAATGAAATGATCATCATCTGAAGATAAATTTAAGACGGTCTTAAATATAAGATCTGATTATATGAATATGGGCCTGTGTTTCGCGGCATTTATTGAAAAGCCATTACGTTTAATTTTTCCAGCGACATGGAGCTCGTACGTGTGTTTTCTGACCGTAGTCATCTTGCTCTTCCTATGTAAGTACCGATGTTAATTGTGATTAATATATATATATATATATATATATATATATATATATATATATATATATATATATATAT